ACACGCCGACATGTGTGGCCCCATCAGCAGTGGTCCGTCTATCCCATGTACTTACGGTCTTTTTGGCCGATGTGACACCGGTAGTATATAGAATGTCATGATTAAATGTCGTTATTACACAGTCAAAAGTCACAGAAAGAATATCCAAGCTCAAAAATGGCCTCAAACCCAACAAAAACTGGTATAAATCCCCTTCAAAAGCCGTAAGTCTATTAAACGCCATAGGGGAATAGCTACAGTCCCCCGCAATTTCGTCACGAGCATCGGGCCAATCAGCGTCGAGTATTGCCGAACGCCGATTGGTCGATTTCCGCTAGCCTGTAAATGCTGCTTGCGGATATAGTTTTGAACAAGTGAGGGTCGCGGCTACTAATTATCGCTTGTCACCACTTTTTCGTCGGGAACGTTCTACCTGGTTTATATAGCCTTGGCCAGGTCGAGTGATGCCAATACCTCCAGAAAATGTTGTAAAAACCTCTAGAAACCTCTGTTCCATTGCCGCTGATTATAAAGTATATATACCTACCTCCATACCTACCTCCGTATCACAAACCGTGGCGCCGTTTCAAAGCACGTTGCCATCCGCTGCTAGCGCGTGATGACATCATCAAGCCCATTGCTCCAACACTACCAAAGGGTCTGTTCCAGTCGCACTTCCTAACACCTCTAAACTCCTCCAAGATTGCTTCCCTGTTCCAGTGTCAGCTCTAGCCCCTACAAATCAAAGGAGGGTCCTGCTCCAACCTCCTCTATCTTGCCCTTGGAGGAGTTTAGATGTGTTAGGAAGTGGGACTGGAACAGACCCAAAGTGTGACGTCAGCGCGCTGGCAGCAGCTGGCAGTGGGCTTGGAAACACCCGGTTGTATCCCCAATCAAGATAATTCACTCATCCTTCGCATGCCTTTGCATTTGTCCACATAACATAACTTGATGGACTTGGAGCCCACCGTGGGCACCAGGTTGGGCCTTGGTGCCCACGGTATATCGAGAACTTTTAGCTGCAGCCGGCGGCCAGAGCCTCAATAGTGAACAAGCCAAAAGTAGGCTTATCGTTTCCATCAATCTGTAAAAAAGTGTGTTTAAGCATGCAATACTTAAATATAATAACATGAAATTAAGTAACTAAATAGTTCTCAAGAGACCTTGATGCTAATTGTCTTTTCTGGGATTTTCAGATTACCTCTAGAAAACCCTCTAGAATCCGGCATTTTTCAAAAACCTCCAGGAGCCCCGAAACGCTCCCCTAAAACCTCTAGATCTGGAGGTTTACCTCTAGACCTGGCAACACTGATTGCGACGATTGCAGCGCAGGCAGTGGCGTTTTTTCACAGGGGAGCAATGCCGCTTCAACCCTATTGGCCGTAGTGTCTAACGGTGGCGGCCATATTGCGCAGACCAGAAACCGGCTGCCGCCTGTGTTGAGGAATAGGGAATTCGGGACCTCGATTTACGTTTGCGGCCGCCGTATCCGTTACGTTCAAGTTACGTAGATACGGAACCCGGCATCTTACGCAGAATTGAGTGGGGAACACGATCGTATCTTCAGAATTCCTCAAATTCACTCGCCTGACCTACATTTGCCCCGGCCGAGGGGGTTGATTGAACCCACCTCGCTAATGCACCGCTAATTAAACTTGAATTAAGCGGTAAAGTGGTCGTATGCGGCAAAGTATAATGCAGAGTGACTGGTAGGAACCCGCTGTAAGGGTCTCAGGTCAACCGGTGACCTCTGAGGTCAGGTCAAGTGATCTAAGGCACGGGTTCGGTTTTTGGTAAATAACTTCGCCAAAAATGGCCGTAGAGCCGCGATTTTGGCATCATCGTGTTCAGCTAGCTCAGGCGCATCGAGTGATATACTTTTTGTTCGGGTCAGGTCAACTTAGGGTGTTGACCTCAGGTCAAGGTCAGGTCAGCACCCCCAGGTCACGAAGTTGGTCGAAAGAGGTCATGTCGCATATCATTCGATTCGGCAGGTCTTCCTGAGTCCATTGGTGGCTTTCCCGACTCGCTAGCTCAATTTGATCGGGAGTTATTGAAGAAAAATGGTGACCCTTGTGACGTCACGAATGACGTCACGCAAGGGCAACAATGCAAATATGAAGCATAGAACCTTGCAAAGAGTGCATGAAATCATGATTTTATATGCTTGAGATAGTTTCAGATCATTCTCGGCGCCAAAATAACAATTTTCATATTTCCCCATTGACTTATAAGGGTTTAACGTATTAGTTCCTTATAGCTGATGATTTTTTAGGATTTCATCTTGTTCTCCACTCAATTCTGCGTAAGATGCCGGGTTCCGTGTCCACATAGCTTGAGCGTAACGGATGCAGCGACCGCAAACGTAAATCGAGGTCCCGAATTCCCTATTCCCCAGCACAGGCGGCGGCCGCTTTCTGGTCTGCGCAACATGGCGGCACCGTTGGACACCATTTGGCGGCCGATGCGCATTCCACATTATATACCGGGGTTACATGAGCGATCCGTTCCAAATACGCACTACGCTAATGCGCATCAGCTCCCCACAAACGGATCTACGGCACCGGTTACATGAGACTAATTCGTTTTATCTACGTCAAACGGATCTTGTTTGGCTCACCCGGGCTGACTCCTCGACGGCCGGTAATTCGCATCACAAACGGAATAGGATTAGCGTACAGTCATGGCGCAGTTGCGGCATTTACCGGGACGACTGAGCTAAATTTTAAATACTTATATCATTTGATAGGCTCAAAAACATTTAAAATTAACATGAAATCAAAAAATGAAAACAAAGTTCTCTTGTTTTAAGTCAGTGGGCACTGATTCGCCATGCAGCGACAGCAGGGTGGTCAGAAAAAATTATCTTTCAAAATATTTCATTCATTTTATTTCACATGCAAAGACTAAACCAAAATACCAACATTTTTTTGCTATTTTCTACGAAGCAGCCAATAAAAAAGTTGTTAAGTATTTTGCATTTTGACGCTTCCAGTCAAGCTTCCAGTCAGCAAAGAATAGTTCTTGTGAAATACGGCCCGAATCGTGTGCCTCGGACGTTTCGGTTACATGAGCGATCCGTTCCAAATACGCACCACGCTAATTCGCATCAGCTCCCCAAGAACGCATTCAGTGCACCGACTACATGAGCAAATTCGTATCAGTGACGTCAAACGGATCTAGTTTGGCTCTCGGCCCGATGCGCATTACAAACGGAATAGCATACAAATGTGGCGCACTTCCGTAGCAATAGAGGTGACTAAATTAAAAATTCATTATCTTATGTCTTTTTTGCATTTAATCTGCTCAAAACATTCTCAATTAACTTAACAAAAAAAAGTTGAACATAAAGTTGTCTTGCTTTGACTCATTGGGCAATTGCCTCTCTTGATTCGTCTGTAGTGCTGTCAGAAAAATGTTTCAACTGAAATTATGTGGATATTTACTATTTGGTTTTCACTATATTTATTGTTGAAAACTTGGCAAAATACCGACATATTTTTCAAAATATTATTTCAAAAGAAGAAAATGAAAAAAATACCTATTATTTTGCATTTTAATGTTTCTTTTTGCGAAGAAATAGTTCCTGTAATACGTATCTTGGTCCTATTCGCTTCTAAGCCTCTTTCTCAGCGGATTTTGTTCGGACCGCCGATTCGTATTAGCAGGTGGATACATGAGTCGGTAGTACGCTCCTGATTCGCATTAGCGGTGAATCCGATCGTGATACGTATTTGCTTTGCTCATGTAACCGCGGATCGGATCGCCGATTCGTACTAGCAGGTGGCTACATGAGTCGGTAATGCGTTCCTAATTCGAATTAGCGGCTAAATACGTATTTACTGTGCTCATGTAACCCCGATAATAGAGTTCAGTGCGTTTTTTTTTTTGACGTCTGTCAAACTAGCAGCGAGCAGCGAGCAGCGAGTCCAGCAGCGAGAAACAGGCCATCCCGATTTAGCTGAAAATTTGCTCACAGAGCCTTTTCAGCACGCTGATTCCGAAAATCATGGTCTCTAGGGTGGGAATCTTTACCGTTCTCGAGATAGAACCCTCTAAAGTTTTTGCCACCCATGGCCGGGCCATGGATGAACCTTCATCCATGGCCGGGAACCTTCATCCATGGCCGGGCCATTCCGATTTGGCTGAAAATTTGCTCACAGAGCCTTCTCATCACGCTGGTTCCGAAAATCATGGTACCTAGGGTGTAAATCTTTACCGTTCTCCAGATAGAACACTCTAAAGAACATTTTTTGTCTCGATTTTTTACCTCTAAGCATGTTTGCGAAAACAAAGTGGTCGAAATCCGAAGAAAAATTGGATTTTAGGGGTAGGTTAGGTTTTAGGCCTCTGGGAGCCTGACCCCCCCCCCCCCCCCCACACACACACACACTTTCGAAAACGTTCCTACGCCTATGCTCATATGTCAATGTGCCAATTGCCATTGATCATATGCAACGGACCATCACCATGCATGGCGCATGCCAGGGATCATATTTACAGCGGATATGCCACGGCAAGAATTTGCAGACTTCGGTTGTAGGCTGGTAGGTAGGTAAGGAGAGAGAGAGAGGGAGAGAGAGGGAGAGAGAGAGAGAGAGAGAGAGAGAGAGAGAGAGAGAGAGAGAGAGAGAGAGAGAGAGAGAGAGAGAGAGAGAGAGAGAGAGAGAGAGAGAGAGAGAGAGAGAGAGAGAGAGAGAGAGAGAGAGAGATTCCTGCATTGACATACCTACACTTATTCCATATCAAGGTTAGGTCAGGTCAGATTCTGTTTTGTTCGGTAGAAATTTGTGACTCGTGGCACGTGGCATATTCGAAACACTTACACACCATCACTCGTGAGTTGATTTTTCCTTAGTCAATGTTGTTCGCTTGCTTGCGTTTTGAGGTCGCCCCCAGAGGCAGATTTTGGAACGTATGGTTTTCAATCAGTACATTCTTCTCATAGCAGGCAGCAGCCATACCCCTGCAGCGATATGCAGCCTTGGAAAGCGACGAGCAAGCCTCGATAGAAAATAATGTTTCTTCCGCCGCATATTATTGTTCAATCTCATCGAAGTAAGCACAACCGAATCGCAAAACTGAAACAACAATATCTTGGGTACATATCTAGTCTTTCCACGATCCACAATTGAACCACGCCAACACAGTTGTACATTACCTGAAGTACCGTAACACATGCTTTTTTTAACTGAGACTCGTAAACCATAAGAAAGTAGGATTGACATTGCTCTCAGGTAACCAGATGGCCTTACGCAAAACAAAGATTCGTCAGCAGCCCGCCCCTTCGTTTGTCTTCAGATGACCGCCGACCAGTGTCACCCCGAGCTCCTACCCCGCCCCCGGACACGCGTGCACCTTAGACGGGGCATCGCGACACGTTGAATCGGATTCCTCCCACGGACACGAAAAGGCAACCTCTCCATCCACCACACTTGACAAAATGTCCGTCCGAAGCGCGTCGCGGCACAGCGAGGTCGATAAGTTACAGCTGAGAAGCGCCTGATTCTCCGTCTCGTTCCGCTCGCTCCGGCCTCGCTCCGCCCTTGGAGATCCGCGCCATTCACAGCTGACGGACTTCCTCCCCGGGCACTGCCTAGGCGAGACAGAGAGCGTCGGACGATCACGGGCCAGTCTGTTCACAGGTGGGCGCTGACGTGGTGACTCAAGTTGCCGTCCCTCCCACCACGGCTCTGTCCTACAGAAACGCGGCGCCGAAACCGAACGTTCGCCGGATGGCGTCCCAGTAGTACCGCTGCCAGCCCTGCTTTGTGCGCTCCAGTTCACTGGAAAAGCCAAATGTCAGAAGTCAAACGTCAGAGAAAACGGTTCGACCGGGGGCAACCAAAACCAGTGACTTCAACACTCGTTGGGCAATTAGTCTGCAAAATATACGATGTTTTGGCGAACCATTCATGGCATGCGAAGAAGAACTGATCGCAGACTTAGCCCTGGAGGCTGGAACGGACCAAACCTACATGTAGACCCCAGGTGTAAATGACCCAATACGGAACGGTTGTGAACTGAACGAACAAGTCCTTGACTGCACGTTCGCTACATCAGGACCTCGGGAGCCCGCAGGAATCGATTATATGAACTATGTAAAACCTTTTTGGAGTATGTTATCGTTTCAAATAGTTAAAAAGCATAGGATATGATGTCTGCATTTATCTTTTATCACTGGCAGGTTCGAAGTTTACACCCGGTTCAGCGTCTCCCTCTCACCTGGCGGGGACCTCAGTCTGAGTGAGGCGCAGCTCGGTGCAGTCGTCCTTCTGGTCGAACTCGAGGGTCACAGTCGAGTGGTGTCCCTCAGGCCACGACTTGAGCCGCCACTGCTGCACCAGCCGGGTGGCCGGACTGAGCTCCTGGAACGTGCCGCTGATGTTGCCGCCCAGCAGACTGAACGCGCCGCCCTTCTCGGTGGCCAGCTGGGCCGGGCCGCCCGTGAACGCCTGCACCATCTGACGGAGGCCGGAAACACAAGCGTCAAACAACGCCACTCATGTGACGCACATCGGAGATAATAATTTACTGGGCATTGGCTGTTGAAGGAGCCCAGAGTTGCAGAAGAGCTGCTGCCGATGAACCATACATTCCCGAATCATGTGGAACTCATACACATGGTCGCTTTTCAACTGTTTTACGCACTCCGCTGCAGATTAATTACGTTTTGTTCATATTGCTAAGGTAAACTGTAACAGACTGTAACAGACCAGGGCTACCCTGTCTGTTCTGTTCCCACTCTTACCTCTCCGACGGTGAGGGCGTTGTAGAGCTCCTGCGCCGTACACTTGAACTGCTGCGTGTCGTTGTGCGTCAGCGTGGACAGCTTCACGCCAAGGTCCAGCTTCTCCATCCGGCTCAGGTTGTTGGCCGCCTGCCGGTCAATCAGAGTCTCAATAGCTCAAACTTCTCAATAGCTTAGAAATAACAAAGTGCAAAATAGAAAACAAATGCACGGATGTTACAATGGACGGGCTGATAGAGCCGGCCTATGCAATGCTTTCCGGCCCGATCCTAGTTTTACTGCCTGATCGGACAATTCCTGATTAAATCGGGAGACCTTGAAGTTAAACGCGCCCATCAAAGCCGGACGCAGCGTCCTGTCCCACTCAACTGACTTTAGCCAGCCGCGGCTGCTCCCACAAGCCGCAGACCATCCCCGTCAGGAGTCTCATAATATAGAGCGCCGGGGCAACTCGAATCAGGGATCTCACCACCCACAAGAATCAAACGCTCTATCAACTGAGCTAAGGGACGAGCAGAACAAACATATAACATCTAGCGACTTGTTTTCATGGAGCAATCCATTGTCTTTTATGGACACAGGTATTGCCCAAAGAGCGCAAAGAGCGCAAGTGCTTAATAAAAGTGAATGATGCAAGTCTAAACAGAGTGTCATACGTACGTTGTTGAATTGGGTCTTCGTCACGGTGGGTTTCGCATTGTTCGCTCCACCACTCTGCTGCTTGTTGCTGGGCAAAATCATGCCGGTCGTGAATTCTGTGAATCAGAAATGAACAAATATTCTTAAGACAGCGTAAACAATAAAAATCAAATATAGTACGATAAAATTAATATCATCGATCACAGATAACAGTAGTACCATGTACTAACAGTAGTAGCACTACTGTTATCTGTGCATCGATCATCGTAGTTCAACCATACCATATCGTCGCACTTCCAACGTAAAAGTACATTTAAAAGGGAGTCGACATTATTCATTACGGAAAACTCAATAAACATGATATTCAATGTTCAAGCAATACACGACTAAAACGAGACGGAAGCAACGATTCGAAAACAACAAATGTACTACTGACCTGTCTTTAATGCGGTCACATATTCGCCTAGTTTCTTCCTAATGATCTCGGCGCCCTTTTTCCTCATCATCTCCTTCATTACCTCAGTGCCGGCACCAGTCGACTTGATCTGAACGCTTATCTGTCAACAACAACATTCATCAGACTGAAGTCGCATCAGACAAAAAGGGGAAGAAATGATGGCGCCAGACATAGGATCTACGACCCAAAACACAGTAAACCAGTTACATAGGTCTCTTCGATTAAGGATGACAGTTGAGTGATAGCATGACTGGATGCAAGGATGACAGCACGAAAAATCAAGCTGGATAAAAACTGATTTGTTTTGTTGTATGTACATTTAATTCCTCAACCCAAATTCCTTACAGCAAACCCTGTACCCTTGGATTCCGCGTACGGGGCACAGTATTCGCCTCACACTAATTGCGATCACCAGCTCAGCGGGGGATACTCATTAGTCATTACTCACGTCGAGGTCGCTTTCGTCGTTCTCGTCAGAGAGGTTGGGGACCTCCACCGTGCCGTGGTGTTCGGCGTCGGAGCCGTTCAGCTTGCCCTTCCATTCCAGTCGCAGGTCCCACTCGTAGAAAAAGATCAGCTTGGCCTTGCGGTTGTTGGCGGAGGCATCGCCGTCGCATTTATCGATCTTGGTAATCTCACCACGTCCTGGAAAAAAAAGATGCATGGTGAACATAAGTGCACGATGAAAGTCATCTTATCACAATATGGATTTCTAAATACGCTCCGGCCGACGGTGCGGGTAAGAATCCCCCACGATTACGCCCCTACCTTCTTGACAAGTTTCGCGAAAAAAGAGCGCAAGCACCCTTACGAGACGCAGCGACTGGTAAATATCAAATTTTAACCCTCGCTGGCACAGGGGGGGGGGGTGATGCACTCCCCCCTGACAAAATTTCATGACCCTGACCCAAATGACCTTTGACCTGTGCCCTTCTTTCCGAGGACACGTTTGGCCGGAATCGCGATTCGGCGTATGTCATTGTCGGCTCGCATTTGCCGCGCGCTTGCAAGCTTTTCGTGGTTTCAAACGTCAAACTTGTGATATGATGTTGCTCCCATGCATTAAGGTGGATGTCAAGGTCACCTGAAGGTCATGTCAGGTCATTGACCTTTGGTGACCTCGGCTCACTTTTTCGAGTTTTACATGTTTCTAGGCTCGTTTTCGGAGCTGAATTCGAATTTAGCAACCATTTGAACACTTACGAAGTAGTTTTGGTGCCTTCGTAACATGGTGATGATGATGAATTGGGGTTTTGGAGCGCCCGGACTACACAAGTCATCGGCGCGCCTTCGTAACATGTTACGAAGCTATCAGAGGCGGTTGACACGTACTACCGATAACCGTCACGACCCCTACTGGTTGACCTGACCTGACTTGGCCTAAATGCTTAAAGACATCATCTGTGATCAAAAGTAACAAGTTATTCGTGATCAGCACCCCGAAAAACCTCATAGCAGCCACACTTTACGACGTTCTAACAGGTCCCGATTTTCCCGACTTTTGGGTCATTGACCTGACCTGGAAGGTCAACCGGTGATCTAGGACCTTAAAATATGGTTAGCATCGGCTTCCTCTGGTGACGGGCATTAACCCTCGCATGTGTAGGGGGGGGGTCGGATGGACCCCCCCCCCATGGTTTTTCGCGAATAACTCGCGTAAAAAGCGGCCGATCGCGACGAAACTTTCAGTACCCTCGCATTGATCAATTTTACACCTACCCTGAAAATTTCATGACCCTGACCCAAATGACCTTTGACCTGTGACCTCTTTTCCGAGACCATGTTTGGCCGGAATCGCGATTCCGCGTATGTCGGCTCGCACTAGCCGCGTGTTTGCAAGCTTTTCGTGGTTTCAAACGTTCAAACATGTGATTTGATGTTACTCCCGTGTGTGTCAAGGTCACCTGAAGGTCAGGTCAGGTCATTGACCTTTGGTGACCTCGGGTGACCTCGGGTCACTTTTTCGAGTTTTACATGTTTCTAGGCTAGTTTTTGGAGCTGAATTCGAATTTAGCAACCATTTGAACATTTACGAAGTAGTTTTGGTGACTTCGTAACATGTTACGAAGCTGTCAGAGGCGGTTGACACGTACTACGAATACCCGTCACGACGCCTACTGGTTGACCTGACCTGACCTGACCCGACCTGGTCTAAATGCTTCAAGACATCATCTGTGATCAAAACTAACACGATATTCGTGATCAGCACCCCGAAAAACCCCTTAGCAGCCACACTTTACGACTTTCTAACAGGTCCCGATTTTCCCGACTTTGGGTCATTGACCTGACCTGGAAGGTCAACCAATGACCTAGGACCTTAAAATTGGGTATCATCGGCTTCCTCTCGTCACGGGCAACACGCTCGTTTTTTCCGCGAAGCTCTAGCTCGATCAGGGGCCAAACGGCAAGGGGGGGTCCAACCGACCCCCCCCTACACATTAGAAGCTGGCAAACGCCGCACACATGCGAGGGTTAAGCTAGTTTTTTTCCGCGAAGCTCTAGCTCGATCAGGGGCCAAACGCGAGGGAGGTCGTACCCCCCCCCCCCCTTGTGCCGTCGAAGGACGCAAAATGGCCTGTGCCGGCGAGGGTTAAGGTTTCCGGTAAACTGGTGACATCTGATCTCCGGCGGATGGTGCCTTCACCCCTAAATGGATAAGGCGCATGACTGGCGAGTCAGCGATAGCGAGTTCGAGAGTCAAGACCGAGAGAGAGGGGGAGGGGAGGGGATAGAGAAGAGAGAGAGAGAGAGAGAGAGAGAGAGAGAGAGAGAGAGAGAGAGAGAGAGAGAGAGAGAGAGAGAGAGAGAGAGAGAGAGAGAGAGAGAGAGAGAGATTTCATCCAGATCTCTGGCTTTTACCCTCTTCCAATAAAGGTGAAATGGTTTTTAGCTAATTTTCTTTCATGCTACCTTGCAATTTTTTTAAGTGATGTAAAACAAATGACTTATGAAAGGGTCCAATTATTATATTACTTACCAACTTTTTCATCATCTATCACCAGTCCAACAAGTAAGCTCTCCAACTTCTTCTTGGACCATGCAGCTGCATTTTTCTCTGTCCTAAGATGATAGAAAGAAGTTCTTGTTTTAGTCAAACATCAATGTGAATACAACAAAACTACTACATTTCAGGACAAATCTTATTGTATTTTTCAGCCTCAATCAACAAAAGTACAAAGTAACGATACCTCCTTTTAGCTACTTTGATCATTTTTGGCCCTTCCTGTGTCTTCAAACACACAGATGCTGTCATTCTTTGCAAACAATTTGAATGAGATTATGGGTGCTAGTCAAAGCCAATGCTTAAAAAACAACAGTTAGTTGAAAAAAAAAAACAGTTTCAATCACTCACCAGTGCCAGTTGTTCACGTTGGTGGCATCTGGGCGGTCTTCCACAATCCAGCGTGGATCTCCCTCCCCCCACTTGGCCATTGTTATCTAGTTTTCTGAAAACAGAAAGCAGATCATAATTGTAAGTGGATGTCTTGACAAGCACAAGATGCTACCACCTTATGCTACTGACCAACCAAGCTAGGATAATTTCAAGGGCCAAAAACTTCCCCAATAGGGTGGTGTCCTCCTGGAGCAGAGTTCTGTTAGGAAGTGCAGGCCAGAGGCAAGGACATGTTCAAAACCCTGCTTGAAAATCTCAAGACTGTAGTAGCACTACCCTATCTATTTCTGAAGAAACCCTGTTAAGCCAAGACATGCTTCTAAACAGTGAACAGCCTGATGCCTAACTTTCTGCTACAGCCTAGCACCTACTGACAGATTAATTAAAAAATAAGATTGTGTCATGCTAACTACATTTAAAAGTGCTGCCTACACCCAGAGATACTGCCAAGATTGAGATAGGTGAGCCACACAAGTCCAGACTGTAAAGTGAAAAGCACAACAATTTTGAAGATATTGGTGTGGAGATACCTACTTGGCTGGTGGCTGGTGCACAATGTGGTGCGGATTTCCTGTGCAGCGGCACAGATTTTGTGTGGAGCTGAGCACTGCAGTATGCACCCCCTCCCCACAACATGGCACAGTGGTGAACTGCTGCCATTATCCAAGAAAACAATAGACAGGAGACACAATGGGGTTGGCCAGGGAATATTTTGCCTTTTATTGCAGTTTTGTGAATAAAAAGCACAAATATATAGTTTGTAGTAAAATCTGAAGCTTTTGTTTAGAACACTCATGTAAATTTCCAGCCCAATTGGTTTGGGCCAGTGTGACTAGTCAACACTGACAGATATTGCCACGTGCAGTCTGGACATAAGTCGGATGGGTAGCATCAAGCATGTTACATGTAAAGGTGTACACAGCAGTCTGCTTCACCTCAACTTTCATTAAAAATTAAAGGCTCATTCTGCCAGTTGGTCAACCGAGCGAGCACTGGCAAGCTTGCATAGGTAGCTGTTCTGCTAGCCGATCAGTGTCACTCTCTCGTCCCTCATCTCGAACAGCTAGATCATTCCCATTTAACATTAATGGTGTGACATATCATGGCAGTGAGCAGGAATCCATTGACCTCAACTACATAAAAGTAGGTATTGATGGTTCAGCAGTCTGAACATTAGGTACCCCACCTTGAACTGGCGACTGAGGGCCGGCCTCGAAGTTGTTGGGAGAAATAAGCCTCGTGGAACTGAACAAGCCAGGAAGCTTCCACGATGACTTCCCTTTAAAAAAAACTCACAATGTTCTTTTAATGCACGGCCGTATGAAATGCACGGCAGAGACGGATACCTTATAAAACAGGGGTTTCTCGGCTCGTATCTCGTATGCTAGCGGCTTGAAGGCACGGAAGGCATGGCAGAGGAGAAAACAACAGCTGAAAAGCTGCGTCGTGAATGTAACAGAACAATCGAGAACGATGCTGCACTATAGGCTGCCATATGAAGTTGGTTGCAAATTTTTTGTCGTCCTTTTAATGATAAAGGAAATATTGTAACCTTTATTTTTCTGAATAAAAATGTTCGTCTTTTGGAAATAGGTGATGTAGCATATAAGGAATCGATTTGGTTGGACAGAAGTCATGTGCAGTGTGTACCTTGTCCATGACCAGAGTTTTCGACAGGGCTGCGGAGTCGGTGTCAGAGTCGGCAAAATCTTACCGACTTCGAGTCAAGATCTTCGAGTTCCGACTCCGGAGTCGGAGGACAGGGCTGCAGGCTACATGGCTCGTCATGAACTGCGCCTGCTTGATTGACGATACTGCATTCGTAATTAGATTTTGTCGAAAAAAGGCCATTTTGCTGTTTTGGACGAACGTTTTCAGCAAATAAGCAGACGACGGCAAATGCCCAGAATCTGCTTTTTAATTCTGTGCAATGTGCATGTTATATTAATGCATTTTGCAACGCAAAGCCTTGGAACTTACAAGGAATCGTTTCAGGCAAGATAAAAACATATCCATTATGAACTTCAATATAATGCTATGGATTTTAATAGAACCGTGCGGAGTTGGAGTCGGAGTTGAAGTCGAAGTCGGAGTCGATTTTTGAAGCCGGAGTCGGAGTCGGAGTCGCAGTCACCCTAAAATCCATCGACTCCGCAGCCCTCGCAGGGCATATTTTAACAAATTTTTACTGCGTCCCAAAGTTGAGCAGAGGGTACGCGCTACGACTAAGGGCATAGGGCAAGGAACAGAGTAGGGCACTGAGAAGGGCAGAAAGTAGAGCACGACAGGTTACAGGGCATGACACAGGCAGGGGCGTCGCCGACGGGGGGGTCGGGGGGGGGGGGGGGGGTCACGACCCCCCCACTCTTGAAAACTGGGGGTGTCGACCCCCCCTCCCACTTTTTGCGATGCTGAGTATGCTTTTTTAGCTTTTATGTCAGTGAAGCAGGCGTCAGCAACACCAACAAATACATCAGATTCAAAATCGCTTCAAGAGCTCCCTAAAGCCAATTAGCCAATTACCTAAAGGTCAATTAGCTGTGGGCGGGGAACACCAGCACAACAATGTTTTTAAGTAGCCCCCATCCTAGTACCTTTTTATCCCTCAAAGGATTGGACGCGCCAAAACTGCCCCGAGCGTTCGTCTGATCGTTTTAAAAAAATGGTCGCAGTCGATTCGTCGGATCAGTACCTAACTACAAAACTACAAACTAGCCTCAGCCCCATGGCTACCGTCACAACTAGCTGTACAGTGCACATGTAGGGGAAAGTGAGTCAGATGAAACCGTCTCGGGCTTTCGCAAAGAAGTCGCGCAAAAAGGAGCCGATTGCAACAAAACTTCCGGTGCGCTCGAGTTAATCACCTACTTAAAATAAATCGATATCCCTGATTCAAATAAAGATGACCTTAGTTCACTTTTTCATAACGTGCTTTTAATTGATAGGGTAGTTTTTGGAGCTGATTTTGAACTTAGCGCCCATCTGAACATTTAAGAAGTAGTTGTGTTGCTTATTCATATAACATGCTAGGAAGCAATCGGTGGTGGTCATCCACTATTAGGTACTGGTCGATCTGACCTGACCTGATCTACCCCAAATGCATGGAGTCATCATCTTCGTTCAAAACTAAGATAACATTCGTAATCAGAACCTCGAAAAACCATCACAACTTACATTCGTTAAGTTCTAGCAGGTCCCGAGTTTCTCTACTTATTGGTGATGACCTGAGTCCTGAGATGACCCGAAAACTTGTAAATGGGTATCATCGGCTTTCTCTCGTCACGGGCAGCATGCTCTTTTTTCCGCAAACCTGTAGATCGATCAGGGGTCGAAAGCATGCCTCAGCGTTAGTTTAGTATACGTTATACGTTAGCGACTGGGAAACCACCAATAGAAGGGCTACAGTGAAGCAGAAAACTATTCGATAGCTCTTTAAACGCTCTTTCGCTAGCTTCGCGTTAGATTTCATCTCAGGTCTATGTTTGGCCCACACACAGAAAAATATTGACACCGTTAGCGGTGTAATTGCACAGTACATATCTGAGCACTTGAGGAAAGTTAATTTAGTCCCTTCCCCGCTTAGATTACTCGCGCTTCCAAATAAACACCAGGAAGAAGGTAATAGAACACTGTTAGGAGGGTTGGGTGTTTTACTACATGTAGCAAAACACCCAACCCTCCTAACAGTGTTCTATTACCTTCTTCCTGGTGTTCATTTAGAAGCGCGAGTAATCTAAGCGGGGAAGGGACTAAATTAACTTTCCTCAAGTGCTCAGATATGTACTGTGCAATTACACCGCTAACGGTGTCAATATTTTTCTGTGTGTGGGGGAAATAATATGGAAACTGTTATTTTGGGACCGGAAAGCATCTAATATTCCAACTCCCAGGTTCATGTAATCGTGATTTCATGCACTCCTTATAACATTCCATGTTTACTTTTGTTGACTTAACGTGACGTCATTCATGTCATCACTAAAGTCATACTAATTTTTCATGTCAATAACTCCCGATCAATTTGAGCTAGGGAGTCGCGAAAGCCACCAATGGGCAATGGACGCAGGAACAAATGATACATGCGATTTTACCTCCTTCGACCAACTTCGTGACCTGAGTGGCTCGTCTGGCCTGATCTTGAACCGAGGTCAACACCGTAACTTGACCTCATCCAAACAAAAGTATCATTCGACGCGCTTAGACAATAGACATAGCGAACGCGAATGTGTCAAAATCGCAGTTCTTCAGCCATTTTTTTGCGAAGTTAGTTACCAAAAACCGAAGCTGTGTTTGGAGCAGGTACTTGACTTGTTGACTTTACATCAGAGGTCGACGGACGCCAATTGAGCCGAGCAACTGGGTACAGTTGCTGCGTCTCGTAATGCCCGTTTACGTCTACGTTACGTCTACGGTTACGTTACGTTTACGTTTACGTTACGTTTACGTTACGTTTACGTTACGTTTACGTTACGTTTACGTTACGTTTACGTTACGTTTACGTTACGTTTACGTTACGTTTACGTTACGTTTACGTTACGTTTACGTTACGTTTACGTTACGTTTACGTTACGTTTACGTTACGTTTATGTTACGTTTACGTTACATTTACATTACGTTTACGTTACGTTTACATTAAGTTTACGTTACGTTTACGTTTACGTTACGTCTACGTTTACGCTACGATTAACGGATATTATAATATAATGCCCGTTTATTAATCACCATCTCGTTTTTTCCGCGAAGCTCTAGCTTAGGGGCGAAACGGCGAGGGGTTGTATCCGCAGCCCTCGGTCGAGGCGTATCGGGCGAGAAGGTCAACGTGGGAGAGTTGTCACCGACACATTGACTTCAGATCAAGTTGGGTTAAAGCCGGTCATTCATCAAGCAATCAAAGCCGGTCATCAAACCCGGCATGTCATGCGATTCAATACCTAATTGGTAGTTCATTTGGGTTCGTTGGCGCCTTTTCTGACTCGCTAACTCATTTCTTAGCATATTGCCTAGTGCCTACCACACCGCCTACTGCCTTTGCAACAAAACCAACGAAAACAAGTTCATGCATGATTGTGCAATTTCCATTTTGTTCACACGCTGAACGACTCACGAGTGTAAATAAATTAGAAATGACATCAGCATTGGTGTGACGTCGGCAAAACAATACATGTTTACCCGCACTCGTCTCCCGCCACGATTCACGTTTCTTCTTGTCTCCGCCGGCGAAATCCCTCAGTGCAAGTGCACCGAACTTCCAGGGCGCGACTGACGCCCGATAGAGCACCAGCTGTCACCAACCGAGAGTCGAGACGACCGAGAAACCCGAGCCGCCCCGCACCGGGATGGTGTGAGATCTCTTGGACTAAACGGCGCGCCGCCGCGACCGATACCGAGCTGGCGACGGCGCGTTCCCACGGTCAGCGCCATTCATGTTGATGCTTGCAGCGTGCGCGCGGTAACAGATGCGCGCGCGGACGATGACGATCTCGGTATCGTCGGTATCTCGCCGGTCAGTCTTCGATCGTCGGCGCTTGGTCGGCGCAGTTGGCCGCAGGCGGGTTGGTGCGGGTTGTCGGGAGAGGCAATGGAAAGGTGCGGTGTGCGACTCATTGACCTGTGGCGAATCTGAATCAGTGCAGTGTGACTGTGGTTGGTGATAGCGAAGCGAGACTCGATTTTTAAGGATACTACGCAGCTGGGAATCAACGCTGGTGGCCAGGTAAGCGTCTATTTATAACTTGCGTCATTCTGTTGCCGTTGCCAGGCGGCTGCAGGTCTCCTCTGTCTCAGTCTGGGTCGGCAGCTGGGTCGGCCGTCGTGCAAGGGTGTGGGTGGGGCTATTCCGCGGCTCGTCGAATCTCGTCCTTTGTGCAGGTTCTAGGCAGGGTTGGATCTATGTATTTGAGCTGGATCTGGATTGTCTGACCCAGATCTCGACTGTCTGGAGTTCGATGGATCTCGACTCGGACTCTCTGGATAGTGGATCGGATCTGATCTGATCTCGGCGTCTGGTCCCTATCCTGAGTCCCTACTGGTCCGTGAATTGACTGTCAGAACAGGATCTCCACTGACTGGTCCGGATCTCTTTATCTGTGCTGGATCTCGACTGACTGGGCTGAATCTCAATTCTTCGTCTGGTCCGTATTTCTATTGTTAGTGCTGCATCTCGACTGTCTGCGCCGAGTCTCGGCTGTCTGGATCGTATTTCGACTGTCTGCTGGATTTATGTTGTCTGGACAGACCGGATTTCCACTCTGGCGGATCGGGATCGCACCCGTTTTTTATCTGTTCCTCGGATATCATCTGTCTCTGCTATTTCCCGACTGTCTGCTGACAGTAAGAGTCGCCGAGACATTGGCAATGAACAGGGCCATCCTGCACAGCTGAGCCACAGACACAACGTCGTCTATTTCGGTGACGTGTTACCGCCGTCGGCGCCGACGATCCGCACCCCCCCCCCCCCCTCCCCCCCCTCCGACGATGCACGGTCGCCGCCGGCTCCCGGCCTGGCACGTTCCGATCCAGCCTGTTTGTTTTCGCTAATCTGGTGATGTGCACCAAACGCCCTTTCAAATAAACGTCGGCGTTTGGATAATCCGTTCCACTTTAACATTTACCGTGACAGCACTGTGTTAACAACGCACCTGAAATGATCAATAAAATCGTTCAGGTGGGGCTCCTATTTAACTATCCCTCTCACATAGAGATGGGATTCGGAACATTGTTCTTACTTAGCATATTATTTTAGCCGACGCTCTTGGATTTTTTTTTTGTGTTGTACGTACCTGCTAAGTGCAGGCTCATATCAATCATTTTAATCAAACGTTCATTCCGTCCAGATCCGAACATTTGCGGTCTGTTTTCTCTGTGTTTATGCCCAGAGGTCAGAGTTGTTGCGTTCTGACTGGTCACGATCGTTGGATTGCTTCCGAATATCGCGAAGACCTCAGATACGATCGAGGCTGTATAACAATTAACACTTAACAGGTAGAATGAATGAAGAGTTCACTGAGTTCAGTGTGAATTGTGAATGCTATGTCATCCGGCAGAGTTGCAAACATAGTTAATTTTGACTTATGTTGCTTTGCATCATAATATTTGCTAATCTGTGTAGTGTGTATGATAATGCTACATAAATGCGATGCGTATGTAAACGTTACATATAACTTTGGAATTAATTCGACAGTAGGAATTAGAGCGTTACGAATTAGTTGGAAACTCACCCGGAAACCTTAAACGGCTTTGCATTCATTTTGTGTTAATTTTTTTAACATATTTTTTTGTCAGGCCCTACCGCTTTTTTAGATCTATTCAATCATATATGAACGCACGGTTTGAGGTTTGTGATATTACTTGAGGCTCATGCCTTATTTTCATGGCCTTGTTTTTATTACATTTATGAGCATGAAGGCAAGATTTTGCATCACATATATCTGTTTATTCAATTCATGGTTGTGGGATGGAAAAAAGGAAAAGTTCTGCTGTTTCGACGGTTTTGACCACCGTCTGGCGCGCCGCCGTGCAGCTGAAGCTAGGACAATCTTGGTAGGATAGGGCAGCCCTCAGTGCTCGCAAATAGTCCGAGAGAATGATTTTTTTTTTCTAAAGAATAGGGAATAAAATGTAGCAATGCTCAACATCCATTCTGGACCACTATTTTACATAAAATATTTAATTGTCTAATGTGTAATTTAGACGGCAGTCGACCTGCCGCCCAGCCGTCTAAGGTCTTAAAAAACAATGATCAAAGATCTCGAAGTGATCGAACCTAGTCGATATATTATATCTTTAAAATATTACACCGTGTAAGATTTTAGAAATGAAGGTACGCCCGAACAATGCCAGCATCCAGTATCCACCCACCTCCCTCACGTTTCCCCGTCTCAGCATCGTTTCGTTCGCAACTGCATGGTAAGAGTGAAAGGCAGCAGTAGTTCACGCCGTTGTCGCTAGATGGCTCAGGCTGTCCAATTGAAAAGCATTTCAGTCCGGGCTCTCTTGTAAAAGGCACACACCTCGCCAGGGTCACCGTTCCGTCATTTTCCATCCTCAGGACAGTCAAATCCTTCTCCATGCCTCTAACCTGATCCGGGCTGGATGGTCTCCTCCATCCGACGTGAGTAGCTGCTCAGGAGCCGCAGGCTCACGTGCGGTGCGGGGGTGACTTGCTGGGCCGGTTGGCCCGTCTACTGAGACGGACTCAGTCCCCCGGCGGCGCACCGGGGCTGGGTGGCCGCCTTCACCAATATCACCCCGAGATTCCTATCATGCTTCTGGCCCCAAAAGGGCCTTGTTAGATCGAAAGGACCCGGCCCTACATACCTGGCATGGACCAATCTTTTAGGATTAGAAATTGCTATAACAATTTCTATAGCAATTTCAAAAACAGTTTATATATAAACTTTTTTTCTTTTCGACAATTGTCTATGCATACATTTCCCAATCTTAGTGGTCAGACTCGTCCTGTCTGGGTACTCCAATGTGCTTCCTCCGTTCAATGCTTCTCTGTGAGGACTGAGGTGTCAGCGCACGTGTACCGTGTCCCGGTGTAACAGCATTACACTCGGAGACCCCGCTCCGTCAGGCCAACCGCGCGCACAGCTGGCCCGTCTCTCAGGCCCCGCAGCCTCCGTCAGCATGGTCACTGTATATTTCCTCGCGCATATTCTCGCTAACAACACCATTAGCAGCCGTTTATCTTCGGAAGGGTTAGGCGCGCGCGCACGGCGGGGGTCGTGCCCCCTGCGGCCCGGGCCAGGGGTCACGTAACGCCCGGGACCGATACAGACCGGATGTCGGGGTCGCGAGGGAGGGAAGGGGGAGGGGTGAGGAGCGTGCGCGCATCGGCTGACGGTAGCCCCTAGGGAGGTGAGAGGTCCACCGCGACCGGGGAGGTAAGCCGCCTCGGAAAGTATTAAGAAAAAAAAATCTTTCCAGCTTTTTATATTCATACAGTTTGATGTAATATAAAAGTGCAGCAGCTCTTGTAGAACTTCAACATTTACTGCATAGTTACTGTTTCTTGAAAGAGGCCTTGAATAAAGAACATCTGTCAGTTGGTTCTCAGAAGCTCTAGCAAACGTTCTTATTTAGCCTGGCTGCTAAAATAACAACGCCATGATTTTCAGTCCATTTAATCCTCCCGCTCCGTATGCCGGACATATGTTTTCTTCTCACTTCGTCTCCCGCTATAAACGTCCTGTCTTTCCGGTGAGTTGGACGCTTTGGACGACTCTGACACAGGCGTGTCCGGTCATCGTCTCTCTGCGCCCGCGCCGTCGTGCCTTCCGCCTATTTCTCCGTTGCAAGCACGCAGTTTCCCGGTCGTTATGTTGCGTTATGGCATTTCCCGCTATCGCGCCGCTACCAGCGCTCGCCGCCTGCCCGCACTCCAGTAATAAACGCCGGCAGTTACCTCCGCCCTGATGGCAGCCCGTGCCGGCGCGAACGAGCTCCATTCCGGACCACCTTGTGAGCTGTTGTGCTCTGGCCGTCTGCACCACTTTGCAGAGGCCCGTTGACGAGCGCCACCGCGGCAGTTGACGCGCGAATGGGCGAACGCTCGCCCGCGGCGCCGTCGGCTGTACTGCGGCGCAGTCTACCTCGCCCGCGGCACAGTCTAGCCTCCCGGCGGCGGCCGCTGCAGTATCCGCGCCCGCCGCGGTTTCCCAGCCTTGGAACTGCGGGGGTGTTCGAACGATGCGGTGTGGACATGGCTCGCTGGCCGCCAGTCATTCATAATAATTGTGATTTGCGGTAGCCGCGAGGCCAGTGGCTTTTTTGCGCGATGACCGGCCTGAGAAAACGCTGCTGTCTGGTGGTTTTTGTGAGAAGGCGTGGCCGCGTCTGTCGGAGAGGAGTCGGGCGACCGGCCGCGGACGGACTCTGTTTCCGGTGCCCCCCCCCCCCTGTCTGACACCCCTGCTCTGTCTCTCGGCCACCGGCGCAGCTGGCCGCTAGCCACCCAGTTTCGACCCGACCCGGGCGTCGTTTACGACGCGTCATTACAAGTGGTCAACAGAGACTTCCTGGTGCCCCGGGTGCGAGTGCCGGGCGCGTGGCAGGGGTCCGCCTCAGCTGCCGGTCGCTCCGTCACCCGAGCCGCCTCGCACGTGCGGTCGGGTGTCACGGGAGGTCACGCCTGGTGCCGCCGGCGAATCCCCGGTCTCTGGGCGGTGATGGACGGCTTGAGGCGGGGCTTTGGGAGAGAAGGAGGGATGCAGAGGGGAGAGGACAGAAGGAAAAGACAGGAGTCAAATGGGGAGGGAGATCAGCACACATCAGCGCACAGGCTGAAATTTTGTGTTATTCCGGCACATTTTCCTATAAAACCGCCGCGTCATCTCGAGCCACACCCTTCTAAATATATTGGTGGCACTGAATGAAATGATATGTTTCGGGCCGGTGCTCTCCCCATTCTCAGTTCTGGGAAGCTCTGTCATTTTCCAGTCCACCGATCGTCCGCCGGGCAGGGGCACCTCGTTTCTCACAGATTCAGACACTGCGGATATTCTGGAACTCGCGCGTCACTGAGCTGTAACTATTGCTGACGCACTGACTGAGCTGAATATCAGCTCGGTTCTGCGAATTTTCATGTTGAGGACAATTCTGTAGAAGCCATTAGTTGTAAGCACGTCGAGTATGAGGCGCTATATGACGTTGTTTTCCCTGTTGCCATGAGCGCAGCTGCTTGGTTTCAAACAGGTTAGGTGCCTTTGG